ACGACCAACGAGCACCATTCGGACGATTCGTGCCGGGATTTTTCAAATTTCGCCCGGTTCGTCCGGTCGATTGGCCAGTGAAAACCGGCGGCAGGAAGATGGCCGCGAACATGGACCAGGGTAACGCGATCAATGCGACGCTTTCTAGCCGTTCTCCGTTCATTTTTTCGCTCGGTGTATTCGCCGGCTGAATGCGAACATCGCTGACTCCATTATGGATCCTCTGCGATCCGTGAAACTTCTACCTTTTTCCCTGCTATTTAATTAGTCCGATGATAATTCTTGTTTTATCGAGGGATCGCTCTACTAACAGCGTGTCATCTGCATTTCAAACGCGAGGTGAATTTGAGGAATTCTTCTCAACCCCCTGCCTGCGTCGCTTCTTTCCTTCGAATCTCGAGGAGTGTTCAAATTTCTCACGCGTGCTTCCATTTCAACCCCTAATCCCTTCGGCCTTACGATGTGTGTTTCGTCTTTCCTTCGAATCTCGAGGAGTCTTCCAAAAGCGTTCAAATTTCTCAGGCGTGCTTGCATTTCAGCCCTTAACCCTTTCGCTGCGGCTGATTAAGGGAAAATCTTTCGTTTCGGCGTTTAAAGATTTTGAGAAATTTTAAATTTATCTTTTTTAAATTACTAGTGTTGAATTAAAGCGAGAGTACTCGAAGGATTGAATTTTAGGCAAAATTTAAGGATTGACTAAAGACGAAAGTGTACCAAAAGTCACCAACAACACGGTGCCAGAAGATTTTCAAAGGCGCCAATAGCAGTGAAAGGGTTAATCCTTTCAGGCTTAAGACGCGAGTGTTTTGCACTTATTAGGATAAATAACGCTCTGACCTGAATAATTTTTCACTCTTTATTTCTATATTTACAAACTTTACACTCATGTGTATTCATAGTGCTTACTGAATAATTGCACAAAAATATACTCACAGCGCATAATAAACAATTCACATATGTCTTCGTATCAGTGAAAGGGTTAAAAATGAATTCTCCATAAAATCCAACCACTCCAGACAATTCTCAATCCTCCAATTCTCCAGCTGTCCTGGATCCAAGAGGTACCAAGGCTCTTCCGTCGGTTTTCCGAGAACCCGGAGGAGTCGAGGCTTCCCTGATCCATCCCGGAAGGAGTTGATACTCGTAAAACATCATAAGAGGTCAACGTTACAAGCGAAAAAGAACAGGTGTCGAAAAAATGGTCTGGCAGCTTAGCTAGACGTCGAGGCAGCCAGCCGGGTCTGTCGGTCTGTCGGTCGTCCCCGTTCTCTCTCCCTCTCTCTCTCTCTCTCTCTCTCTTATGCCAACAGCCAGTGGAGAAAACAAAAAACCGCCCCTCTCTTTTCTTTGGGGATGGCCTTGAACTTCGGGGGAGTCTCTCGTTGGCCGAAAAACCGTGTCGCAGTTTTTCCTCCTGGCCAAGCTACGACGCCGCCGGCAGCTCTACGAGCGCACGAATCACCGGGCGAAACGGCTCTTCTTACAGGCTACTTGTTAGGTAGCTAGGAAGGTGGGATAGACTCCCCCTTGAAATCTAACCAGCCACCCCCTTAGACTTCTTCCAGCTTCGTCCCCCTCCGGGCTAGGCGATAAGATTTGTGGTTATAGCTTGTTTTTGGAGCACGCCGCGGGGGTCTCGAGCTTCCACCAGGTCCTCCACATCGGCGAAAGAAACCGGGAAACGGTTAAACAGAGGGTGGACTGCTCAAGGTCGACGTACCCCTGTGATTCCGGGACGTTTCGGCCGCGGGAAATTAGGTGACACCGCTTGGGGATGCTATGATTCTTCCGTGGGGGTCAATGACCTGTCTTTCAGCTGCTGCTCGTTGGACCGAGGAATTTTAGGTTGGACATTTTGAAGCATGGGGGATGTGAAATTTACAGGTTGGGTTGTTACAGGTGTGTTTAACGATATTGGAGAGATTTTGAGGATATTTGATGCTTCGTTGGTTAGAGGATTGGGGTAGCTTCTCTGTTTCACTAAGATGATAAGATTTCCACACTCTCTTCTTGGTTTTCTCGAAGAATTCGAGTCAACGTCCTCACTCACATTCTCTAACTGTCTCTTTCTTTTCCAGGGTTCATCGAAAGCACAAAATTTCCTGGAAAACTGACCTACAGATTAGCTTGCGCGTTAACTAGGGGCATTTAAGAAACTGGAGCGTCTCGGGTCCAGTGACCCTGTAACCGTGACCATCAACCCCTGTTCTTCTCTTCCTCTACCCTTGGCGAAAAGATTTGTGGTTATAGCTCTTTTCTGGACCACGCCGTAGGGGTCGACGACGACGCTTCCTGCAGAAGAACAGCTTTTTACGAATCGACGACACGAAAAGTGTTTAAAGCTCAAGCTTGAAATCTCTGCTTAAAGATGAATTCGGATACTTGATAAGAAACTTCCAAGGAAAAAAAAAGAATTTTTGCACCACACTTTATCACGTTACGGAAGTTTCGTTGTTCGGAGGTTGACGACGTCGTGCATAATCTGACGAACGACAAGTAGCAGACAAATAAGAGGAGACACTTGTGAGTAGGCGTCCACCGACCCCTCGTCTCGCTGGGGTGACTTTTTATCCAGGGGACCGTTTTTTCTCTCTTCCCTCGCCACGAAGAAATTCCCCAGGAATTCGTGGACCGTTTCAGGGGCGGCTTTTTGCATGATGCCTCGCGATGCTCGTGACCTTTTCCAACCTATTCCTCGACGCGTGTGCCACTGTGAAATTAAGTTGTAGAAGGTCATGATGTACTCTCGCGTTCTTCCTCCGCCCTTCTTCCACTCCTCCAATTATACTCTTATCGCCTTATTCGGAGGACGAAAATTTTCATATACACTTCACCTCTCGTGAAAACGTGTCGTTCACGTGTCACCAGCTTTCACGGAGTAATTAGTTAATTAGACACACCGTATGGTGGTTGCAATCTTGCCTTTTGTAGATTTTTGACATTTTTATGATTTAAGTGGTGACGATAGTATCGCATGGGTTGTGTTCTTCAGGGAGTGTCTTCAATTGATAGATTAAAGTCATGAAGGTAAGCTGTGTAGCCTTTTTTAGCGATAACTCATTTTTTGTCTTTTCTTTGAAATTAATATAACATAGGTTATGTCTGGAAACATTGATACAGAACTAATTAGACATTTTTTAAAAATAAAACTCTCCAAAAGTGAGTAGCTTTTTAATACCCTCTTAGTGATTACTTTTACAATAGATACTTTCGTAATATAGACACTCGGTTGTTCGAAATTAATTTCTAAAATAATTATCCGTATAACAATAACTCCGGCAACGAGAGGGACAAGGAAAGACGTATTAGGAAAGAGAAGGGGCTAATGAGAGAGAGAGAAAACCCGCCCGTTCCCCCACCCTCGTCCCTAATCCCACCGCGGCAGCTCGTTACCCCCACCACGGCGCGCGCAGCACGAGCGACTCGCGATGTGTTGCGAGGGGCAGAGCCGAGCGCGGCCGAGCACGGCCGAGCACGGCCGAACGGTTGTTCGAATCGCGACTCCCGCGTCAGTGCTGCAACCGCGTCCGCGGTCCACGGTTCACGATTTCCGGGCCTCGCCGGTTCTGTTTTTTCCTCATCCGTCAACGGCGAAAAAAAAACGAAGCAACACCGGTCTCCGTGTTCCAGGAGGAGACTACGGCACTGGACCAACCGAGAGACTAATCGTACGAGAGGAATCGCGACAGAGAGCCGGCGAGAAAAAGCTCGACAGCTTTTCCGGTGGCGCGTTTTCCCGCCACATTTCGTCGCCGGTAAGATGGCCGCGGTCGCGACACCATCCTCTCTGTGGAATCGTCCGTTCGAATATCTCGTACAGTGAAGGAAGAACGAAGCAACAAGAGGATCTGTCAGCTACGTGAAACGAATTCGAGGCAAGGTTCCCAGATACCGGTACCATGAGACCAGACGCACGAACCGTTCTTTCGGCGGAGATCGTCGTGTCGATGGTGAGCCGGTAGGATCCTCGGCTAGGAATCTTGCGAGTCATCCTGCGCTTCCCGGTGCTTGAGGAACGCGATCATGGAACGTGGTACGAGTCGTGCTAGCTAGAGTGACAATCGACGAGAAAGGTGAGGAAGTGCGATGACAGTGAGAAACGGAGGCCAACGGTCCAGGGAGCCGGTCACAGGGACGTCCTGAGGGGGGAGAGAATCAATGGTACGGTAACTAAGTGCAGTTTTCTACCAAGTGCAATATCGCGAGCAACCAGTGTGCAATAATTATTATTCGTATCGAACGAAACTGTATTTCCGTAGAAAAGAAAAAGTGCGAGTGTATGTGAAACAGAGATAGATAGAGAGAGAGAGAGAGCGAGAAAGAGAGAGAGAGACAAACACATAGACAGGTAGGATAGACGGAGATAGAGAAGAGGGGTGGGGGAATAATCTAGTCAAGAGAGACACCGTGCTATTTCGCTATTATATTTTTACTAGAAAACAGTTTTGGTGTCCAGACTCGACCAAAGGTCACTAACCAATCACGCGCACCCTTTGTGCGTGCGTGTACGTATGTGTATATCCTTGGGCTTCGTCTCTCTACGGACGAGGCATGTTTACATTCGTACACGCAGCTCGCTAGTTTCGGTTGATACTTGTTCGTGGCACGTTCGTTTAGTAACGCTGTATAATATTCTCGCGCGTTCAACATCGTCGTTGTACGTTATTCCAACGTATTATGTATCGCGTTTTCGTTCGTTGAAATACAGTGCGTCTCTTTTAACTCTGTATCCGAGAGTAGCTGTCTCTCTGGTGGCCGGTATGCATGGAAACGGGACGAAATCGTCGTACAGGACGCGGTGAATCTTCCTCTCGTAAGTGTGCTGGTCATTATTCTCGCCGCGAAGGGACGCGCCAAGGGAGAGGAGGGACTGTTGTACGCGACGTTATTGTCGGGAAGAGGCGAGAATCGAGGAAAATCGGTACCAAGTAGTGTTGAACAAGACCGAGTGATCGCGCAGTGACGTAACGAGGAACCGTGGCGCCTCGGGACTATTCTACGGTACCGATCCATTAGATATCGAGAGTGTTCGTCGTCGTAGTGACTATCAATTAGGTGTTCTTGTGAGAAATGTATCCGTGGTATCGAGACAGCGTCGCGGCGGCGGCGGCAGCCGGCCTCGGGGGCCCCGTCGGAGTCGTCGGTTCCGGGTTCTGCTCAACCGGCCCAGGACAAGGTGGCACCACCATCAAAACAGAGAGCGGATATTCGGATTGCATGCTGGCCCTGGACTATGTGCAGAGCAAAGTGAGTACCCCTTTTTTTCCCTCCACGAGATTCGCTTTTACGTCGGTAATCCTATCCAGCGCTGGACGTCCATTTTATTTTATAAGCTGGAGATATTGCGATCAGCGTGTTGCTTCCCTCTCGATGCTTCAGTTTGTAAGCTTATAATTAATTAATTACAACGATACGAAGAAGGAAGCTCGTAGTTTATGTAATTAGTATAAACAACGAATACCGTAGGATAAGCTGTCTCGCTAATTATTTATTTCCTAGTAAATTAGGATTTATTTCATTGAACGAGCAATGTTATTTGTATAAACACGGGAAGGTAGGATCGATTTCGTCGCTAGTTTTTGTCTGCCTAGAATTTTACACTCGATTAATTCCTGGAATTGTCTGTCGTGTATGAAAACATACGTCCGCGGTGAAACTCGCGCGAGGAGGCTCGTCGACTTTGTTGATGTTTTGAACCAAGCTATGTACTACCCTGCGAAGATCCAGGAATTTTATCTGTTGTTTTTCTGTAACGGAGAGGTTTCAGGCACGAGCAACGCGTTCGCGTTGGCCTTGATCGTTTCTTGGAAAATTGGGACGTTTCGTGAATGTTATGAACGATGTACAATAACACAGTAAATCGGCGAGCATACACGACGGTACGAAATGACAAAAATATAACGTTGTTAGATTGTAGCGTTAATTTAGCGAAGCAAACGGTGAATTTTTGCAACATCGAGCGACACAGTGTGAATTGACTCAACGATGAAACGGCTCACTATCCTCCGATGAGCAAAATTGAACGTAATTGATTCGAATCGAGTAATAGTAGGTTTCAAACAAGATTCTGAATGAAACACCCTGTTTTTTGGCTTTCTTGTTCCAAGGATTAACTCGTCTGCTCGGTTTTTACCGGCCACACTTTTCAAGCCGTGTTTTTAGCGGCTCAAAGAACTTCTTAGAACATGCGCCCCTTTTTCGAACACCTGTTATTATTCAATTCCAACCTTTGCTCGTGTATATCCGATACAAAAACAATCTATACATTGAGATAGAAAGGAAAGTACGTTTTCTCGATTTTTATAATATTCCTCTCGAAACTACACCGTGGAATCGTAATAAATTATGGATTACAGAGTGAATGTGTTTCTCGTCGAATAATTATCATTTAATAAGTTACCGTTAATCACGTTAGTCTCTTATGATTGTTAGCAACAACTGTTCGGTATTTCGATTATTTTCAATCAACTCAACGGTCAATTTCTGAAACAGCGCTTTGTATCGGGTTACTTTTCGCTGTACAGTCGTCCTTTTTTGTCGCCACGCGATAAAAACCAGCTTGTTTGCCCGTTTTTTTCTTCAACCTCTGTTCGACACCATAGCGATTTAACATTCTTCGCTCGGCTTGAAAACAGATGTGCTCGGCTAGGAAACGAATTCGCTCCTCGGCTTTTGGCTTTCTCCCGCGGCCACCGAACACTCGGTGTATAAACGGAAGAAAAGGATGCTATAGTTTCGCGTTGATTTATCAAGAAACGACGACGACGACGACGACGCGTGGCTGTGTGAAACCGCGACGGAATCCGTGAGGTTTCATTTTTCTCGTTATTCAACGCAATATCGGTTCTCGGTAGAGAATCCTCATACCAAGGTGCTTGTGCAATGCACACGAGAGAAATGAAGGGCAGTGAGATGCATTTTTGTGCAAAGTAGATTGGAAAGTGTCGCGATAGTTATGCGTCACCATAGTTTTATTCCATTCTATTCGATCTTTAGGATTCTCCTCGTATTCTTCAGTTCTATTCAACCCTTTCTCGAGCGAATTATTTTTTTTTTAAGCATTTGTCGTTTGAGCATTATCGTGTCTGTGATGGATACTAAATTTAGGTAAATATTTGTTCGAGTACTGTAGTGAGATGGAAAGGGTTAAATATGTGTCGAATTTTGATTGGAAACATAGATCGACGTATTAACCGTCGGTAAAAAGGATTGCTAGCTAAAATGGATGTTACCAATCTTGTTAGTGTCGTTTACTGTATTAAAATAAATGTAGTGTATTTGAAATTTTATATTGATTCATAGAAAGTGCGTTAAAAATTTGGAATTATTTTTATTCCAGTGTCCCACGAGTATATTAACCATAGGGGGAAAATTGAAGTTGGAAATATTATTAGTATCATTTGTTGCATCGAAATAAAACGAGTATCTTTAAAGTTTTACACTAATTCGCAAAAAGTGGGTTAAAAATTGAAATAAAACATTGAAAAGGAAACTTAAAAATTGCATGGAAATAAATTTGGTATTGTTAAAATACACTATTTAGTGGAAAACTGAAGTTAGGTGGATAAAAAATTTGAAAAATGTATAGACATGTTGAATTTCGGGTGTAAAAATTGTATAGTTTAATCAGATATCGACGGATAAAGGTTGAATATTAATTTTCTGGAAGCACAGTCTCGCACGTAACGTTTCCAATCGAGTCACCTAGGCCTTGGAAATGAAGTAACGTGTAAGCTGTGCTCGTTGGAAATTATTGTGACAAGTAGAGGTCTCGTTGATAAAAAGAGGAATGAATGAAACGGCTAGATGAAGGCTAAAATGAATGGAAGCAACACTTTTAGAGCAGAAGAATTAATTTGGTCGCGAAAAACGGGGATTATACACGGGGATTGTACAATCGTAAATCAAACGCAATTAGAAAATCAACGAGCATTTTCTAAATTAGAGTACGCCTCGTAGTCCGCTCCTAAATCACTGAAATTACGCTTACTGTTCGATAAAGTATTACAGTTTGGAACTAATTCTGGTAGAACCTATAATTCTTATTACGCCATTAAGTGTACAGACTTTTCTTCTGTCTGTCCTTTCCAATGGAAATTCTCGTTGAAACGTACGATCGCTCTCGAGAAAGCATTGATTATCGCGACTTAAATTATCGAAGTGAAGTAGTGTTTTGAAATTTCATAGATTTAAGGGACGTTGCAAAGATGTTATTCTTAGGAATCGTTGTAGATACTTCCTACAAATTTTTTCGTCGTATTTTTTAATCCTTTTATGCATATTTCTGTTTTCGAATTTTGAAATATCGGATTTTCGCGCGCATTTTTCGCACCCTTGTTTTCGTAAGATATTTTTATGGAAAAGAATGATTTCCGAGGATTTTTCGCAAGGAAAATGCAAGACTTTGAGAATAAACACTTTGACAAATTTTTTCGTCCTAGTTTTTACTCCTTTTCATGCATATTTGTGCGTTAGAATTTTGAAATTTCATATTTTCGCGCGCATTTTTCGCACCCTTGTTTTCGTAAGATATTTTTATGGAAAAGAATGATTTCCGAGGATTTTTCGCAAGGAAAATGCAAGACTTTGAGAATAAACCCTTTGACAAATTTTTTCGTCCTAGTTTTTACTCCTTTTCATGCATATTTGTGCGTTAGAATTTTGAAATTTCATATTTTCGCGCGCATTTTTCGCACCCTTATTTTCGTAAGATATTTTTAGCAAAAAGGCATAATATTCGAGTATTTTTCACGCGAAAGATGCTAGACTTGAAGAAGTCATATCAGTTTGAAAGAATTTGCGTATTTTTCACAGCTGAATTTTCGGTTAGTAGAAAAATGGCGAGAAATACGGTATTGCTTGGAATAAGAAATGAGAAGCGAGGAATTTTTCAGATGTTACTTAGAATGATCTAATTCAAAAATTGCACTGTCTTTGTTTCAATCATCATTCGTGGTCCTTCGATCTTTTGTAAAACAACGCAGGTCGTTCATCCCCGTTTCTTTGAGTCGTGTGTCGCGCAACGTGGAAAAAAACGCGCGGACGACTCGCGTCCAGTTTTTACCATTCGCAAATTATCGTGCTGACCGAGACAATAATGGCATTATACGTCTTCGAAGACGAAGATTAATATCAGGATTATCGTGCGGCAGCAGTGAACCTGATACTTCGAATGTTAATCGCCGGACATTCGTCGAGAGTCGAGTCGAGTTCCGCGTGTTATTTGCATCATTCCGCGGGAATGACTGATTGCACAGTTTCTGTAATTAATGTCGTACAAAGGGACGCCGTGAAATGCTCTTCGATCCTCCATTTAATTTACCACTTTGCCTTTTTGTCGCGGGAATTTCTTTCCTATTTTCTTGCCTGGATCGAGACCTAATTAGAATATTCCGAGATTTTTCTTCGAACAAAAAAACCACTTTAACCCTTTCGTTGTCGCAGATTTTAGTATGTAACGCGCGTTACATGAACAAATTTTCAAAGCTCCAAAGGCACAGTGTGAGCGAATTTTCAAAGCGCCAAAAACACAGTGTAAGCGAATTTTCAAAGCTCCAAAGACACAGTGTAAGCACATTTTCAAAGCGCCAAAGGCACAGTGTGAGCGAATTTTCAAAGCGCCAAAGGCACAGTGTAAGCACATTTTCAAAGCACCAAAGGCACAGTGTGAGCGAATTTTCAAAGCGCCAAAGGCACAATGTGAGCGAATTTTCAAAGCGCCAAAGGCACAATGTGAGCGAATTTTCAAAGTACCAAAGGCACGATGTGAGCGAATTTTTGAAGCGCCAAAGGCACAGTGTGAGCGAATTTTCGAAGCGCCAAAGGCACAGTGTAAGCAAATTTTCAAAGTACCAAAGGCACAGGTGTAAGCAAATTTTCAAAGCGCCTACAGACACCAAAAGCAGTGAAAGGGTTAAAACACAAATCACTTCACAGTTAAATAAAAATCTCAATAAAAGACTCGCATCTCCAAGAAAATTTGAAAAATTTTAATCTCCAGAATTACTTGACCAGAAATTTCACACTAAATTACGAATTTGCATAATTCATCGAACGGTACACTCGCGATATCTGAATCCATCGTACCGAAAGGGTTACATAAACCGAGAACAGCCGAATTCTCGAGAAAAGAATCTGCAAGACGGAGAAAAAGTGGCTGTAAGGTAGTCTATCAATTATCCAACTCGCTCGCGAATTCCTCCTGTTGGCTTTAACGCCGCGATTCCGCAAACGTCGAAAGAAAGAGT